CTTGCAGAAACTTCTAGAAGGACCCACCATTTTCCTCTTCCTGAAGGTTGTAAATCATCTTACCAGAACAGAACTGCTTAGAATCAGCACTGCACAGTGGTTTCCTCACGCCATAGCTTGTGTTTACAGATGAAGAACCTGAGGCTCCTGGCGGTCAAGTGCCTTACTCACCAGGTAGCCTCCACGTGGGTGAGTGAGAAGGGGAGATTGGCTGACATCGATGGGGGCTTCCAGCCCAGCTTCCTTTTGGGGCCATGGTCCCTTGTCTCAGACTCTCATCCTTGGACCCTCATTCTGCTCCCCTCTACTCACCACCCCAACCTCGGTCACGCTCCCCAGAGTCTGACTTCCCCCACCCCTGACACTGGCCCAAGCCAGGACTGGGGTTTCCCAGAGGGTACTCGGAAGCATTTCTTAGCTATAAACCATGTCCCGTCTCCCACTTCCAACACACACACACACACACACACACACACACATACTCACACATTTAGAGGAATCAGGACAGGGAGGAGGAGGCAAGCAACACCCAACGCCCAGACTGGTTTTCATTGAGGACCCTTACTATTTTATTTGCATCTCCTTTGCATATACTTGTGTGGGTCGCTTTGGAAGCTCTTCATTTTCCCAAAGAGCACAGAGAAGTAACAGATTTGTGGGCCTCAGGGGGCACTGAGGCCCATGGGAGATCTCAAAATACCTTGGGCCGGCCCAGGATCTGGGTGCTGGAGGGCAGGGGAGTATAGAGGGGCACAGGGTATTTGGTTGAATAGTGGCAAGGGGTGGGGGGTGCAGGGGGACAGCAGGCTCTCCTGGGATGGGACCTAAAGGAACCTTGTGGGCCCTGCCACCTTACCCTGGCTGCCTTTCTGGCCTGGCTCTCTGTGCTCCCCTCCCCCTGCCTGGCCAGGCTGGACCAATGGACCCTGAGAAAGGGGGAACGCAAGAGACACTGAGACAGGGCCAGAGGGCAAGGGTGCTCAGGAGGAGAAGGCCCAGGACTGAGGTGAAGGGGAGGGTGGGCCCTGCTTTTTAGGTGACCATAGGCATCAGAGCCTGAGACATGGTTCCAGGCAGTCAGCTCTCTGGCCTGTCTCTGCACCCCTTGCTGGGTGACCCTGGCAAGTCCTTGTCCCTCCCTGGCCTTTGTTTCTGCCTCAGTAAATGGGGAGCCAAGGATCTCCCCAGCCCCAGCCAGGTCTGACATACTGCTGCAGCCTGGCTCAGCCTCTCTTGCCTCCCTCCTTGCTAGAGAATCTTCAGTGCCTTCCTCTCTACCTCTAGGATCAAGCTGAAATTCAAGTGTTTAGGACTCTTCTGGATCTGGCACCATCCAACCTAATCACCTCATGTCTCCCTGTTTCTTGACAGCCCAGCAGGGCCAGTTCCTCCCTGTCCTTAGGTACTTGCTCCAACCTCCTTTCCTTCACCCAAGCAACGGACACCTTCTGGAACACTTGCCCCCTCTCCCAGGGCCAGCTTCACGGCCGTGCAAGCTGTGCAGTGGCAAGGGCCCCACACTTGGTTTTATGCTCTGCTGATGCTGTCCTGAAATTAATAAAGTTTGCACAAGGGGCTCGAATTTTCATTTTGTGCTGGACTCTTTAAATTATGCAGCCGATTCTGCCTTCCCCTACTCTCACCAGTCCCACCTCCCCGTGGAGCCCTCACTGGCCCAGGGAGAAGGTCGGAGGCCTGAGATGCCAGGCCCTTGGGGAAGGGGCAGAGACCCTTTGCACATCACAGGCCCAGGCCTTATGCCACCTGGGAAGAAGGCTCAGGAACAGCCACGGGGCTTGGAGAACAGAAGGAGACCTAATTTCTGTTCCCAGAATACTCTAGTCTGATGTGGAGGCCAAACACCTGGCCCAGGAAGGCCTCAGTCTCATAAGCGAGGTAGTTCTCGGCCAGGGCACAGTAGGGCTGGGGCAATCTCATGGCCCCCTCCCAGGGACTCTTGTTGGGAACAGGGGCAGGAGTGGATGTGGGCTGCTTCTAGGGCTGGAAAAGCAGGAACTGGATCCCCCACCCCCAACCATCACCCTGCAGGGCTCATCCCAAAGCATCTTTGTGTGCCCCCAAAAGAGAAGCATCTCCCCTTACTGACCCTGTGAGGGAACCGAGGCAATGCCTTTCCCATTTGCAAATCTTCTCACTAATGTGGACCCTCCGTGGCCCCAAGAACCCCTTCCCTGCAGGGGCCCGGATGGGGCCTTCCTCTCTGCCCTGCCCTTCCTGGCCCTCAGGGTGTGTGACCTGGCCTCCCCAGGGGCAAAAGCGCCTACTTTAGTGGCCCCAGCTGTAGGGCTATGTCCCCTGGGGCATGTGAATCAGGCCCCATCCCCGCCCTGAAGTCATGAGGTTGAGCAGTGACCTCAGTCTTAGTGACCTAGTGGAGGTTGACTGTCGTGTATGTCAGGAGTGAGCCCTCAAGAATCAGCTGTGATCCTGCTGAGACCTCAGGGGACCACAGAGGCCTCGGCCAGCCCTGAACCCTAGGGACTGGAGTAGGTGAGATGGGATGAGTACGGTGGACTGTCCTAACTGGCCTTCCAGCTCCTCCTCCCAGCACTTTCCCAACCTTGGCCCTGTCCACATCAGGTACTCTCCTGCCTCTAGACCTTTGCTAATGGGTTCCCTACCTCAACACTGTCCCACCTTCTGCTGCCAGGCTGACTCCACCCTGCCTTGAACAAATCTGACCTGAGAACCTCTTTCCCCAGGAAGTCTTCCCTGAACCGTAAGAGTCCCTCAACTGTCCTCTTGGCCTTTCCCATGTTGCCTCCTGAGTGAGTGCCTAGCAAGGTGATCAGAAGGCACTTGCTGTATCTCCCTCACCTGATCAACTCTGGCCTGATGAGGCAGGCTGTCATCTGCTCCATGACCGGTGGAGGGTCTAGAGTGCGGGTCAACTTACAGGTGTGGTAGGGGCAGCAAGCCTGGGACAGACGGTGAGTGGCAGCGTGGTGGACAAGGCTGGGTTTCTTCCCTTCTACCACGTCCATATGCTATAAGAATGTTGTTAGCTGCCGCCGAGCCGATTCCGACCCATGGCAACCACATGTGTGCAGAGTAGAACGGTCCATAGGGTTTTCAAGGCTGTCACCTTTCAGACGCAGATCGCCAGGCCTGTCTTCTGAGGAGCCTCTGGATGGGTTCAAACTGCCAGTCTTTTGGCTAGCAGTCAGGTGCTTAACCATTTGTACCATCCAGGGACTCCTTGCTGTAAGAATGTTGTCTGCTGTCGAGTAGATTCCAACTCAGAGGGACCCTATATGACAGAATAGAACTGCCCCATAGGTTTCCTAGGCTGTAATCTTTATGGGAGCAAATTGCCAGGTCTTTTCTCCGGTGGAGCCTCTGGTGGGTTCAAACCACCAACCTTTTGGTTAGCAGCTGAGAGCTTAACCATCGCACTGCCAGGGCTCCTGCTGCTATTTATGAGCCTATGTGCCTATGAAGTAGGTTTTACAAGTGATGAAGCTGGGGCACATCAAGTTCAAGTGGCCTGACCAAGTCACACAGGCGGTCAGCCACTGAGAAGACCTGCCTGCAGGGGCTTGAGTGGGGCAGTAGGGTGTCCGAGCCTCACTGCCTGGCATAGGTGGACCCTGCACTGAGGCAGGGGACTGGTCTAGTTGACCTCTCCAGGGCTTCCAGGTCTGAGGATTTAGCATCTAAGTTGACTACAAGATGAAGCTCCAACTGACTCCAGGCCTCCACCCTTCTCAAGCCGGCAGCCCCCTGAAGCTGTGATCCGCTCCCCAGCAAGTGTGCTCCCTCCCACCAGGCCAACCGGCTCCCAGTTCAGCTGCAGAAACGGCCAAACGTCTCTCTGGAACCCAAACAGGAAGCGGAGGAGAAGGGGGCCAACGGCTGGAGATCTTTGAGGCTCCTCCAGGAAACGGGTGGGGAGGTGGGAAGGGGCTGCCGTCAGTAAAGGTAAAGATGGCTGCTTGCTCGCCACCGCCAGCCCTGGCCTCTCTCCATTCGCTCCCTCCAAAGGAGCTGAGGATCCCCTAGCCCACCTCCCCAGTGGCAGGGAGCAGGGAGGGTCCTGGGGAAATCGCGTTCTCTGATGGAGGACACTGTGCAGAAGGACCCAGAACTGTCAGTCCCGGGCCACTTTTAAGGCACATTTCTCCCCACACTGCCCTGAGATTGTATTAACTTCACTTCTCATCAGCTTACCCTCAGGATTGAGTGCCCAGGATGGAGACGCGGGGGTCTCAGGCTCTGTTCTTCCCCTGGCTGACCATCGACCTTGGCAAGTCACTTTACCATCCTGACCTCAGTTTCTTAGCCAGTGAAATGGAGCTCACAGCCCTCTTCCCACCTGACAGGGCTCTGTCCACTGGGGTCATGGGGCATGGCTTGGCATGGTGGTCAGCGGTCAATGACACTGGGGACCACAGGCTGTGTCACCTGGTGCTGGGCGAGCAGAGACTGCAAACTAGGGCGCCCAGCTGGCCAGGACCCAGGACAGAGTCAGATGTCTCCCCAACCCCTGCACCCCAGCGATCTCCAGGCCAACCAGGCGTGACCAGTGGGGTTTGGGGCCTGTCCACGCATCTGCCACAGGGACACAGGACAGGACCCGACACAGAGAGGACCTGGCCACACAGTACGCTCTGCTGGCTCCCACCTTCCATCTCTACGGGCGAGCCTGGGACCAGAGGTGCAGAGAGCAGGACGCAGTGCTGGGGCATGCAAATTGCAGGCAAACCTCCGGCAAGGGGACAGAGGTCCCAATTGTTGCTGGAGTTGAAAAGGAGCCTGTGCTCCCGGTGGTTTAGCTCAAATGGGAGAGAGGGCTCCGAAGCCTTGGGCCCTTGTCTGGACCCTCAAAGGCCTCCCAGCAGGTAGGAAGGGTAAGGCAGGACCCCCACTCCACTGTTGAGTCTCCTTCACCCTTTCCCAGGTCCTTGGGCCTTTCAGCGTCTTGCCCCCAGCCAGGCCCTGCCCTCCACAGCAAGACAACAAAACCAAATCCCCTTCCGCACCGACTTTCATTACCTCTTTCTTCTTTGACACCACAGAGAAAGAAAAGAATGGTCCATAATCCCAAGTGCTCAAATAACATCTGTTGGCAGTAAAAAAAGAAGAATATATGCACATGATAGGAAAGTCAAACAAAAGACTAAGGTTTCCAATAAAAGTAAAACTCTCCCTCCCTTCTCCCCTCTTCAGCCTCCCCCTATAGGTGACCAGCTAACAGTTTCTTGTGCAGTGACCAGCTAACAGTTTCTTGTGCAGCCCGTCAGAAAAAAATGTTACACCCATGCATGCATGTGTATCCGCTAAAGAGAATGTACCAGAAAAGAGGTCATGTTATACCACACAGTTCTTCACCTCACTCTGCTTAACAGCATGGCTTGGACTCAGACATGCCTCTGACAAGCACACGCAGAGCCAGCCCATTTTTTGGCATGGCAGCTGCCCAGAACCCACCATTGTAACAGACGGGCTGTGATGGAACTGGGCTAAGCTCTTCTTAGAACATTGTATTTATTTATTTACTTACTTAAATTCTGGTGAAAATATGCACAACCGAACATACACCTATTCATCCATTCTTACACGTACAATTCAATAACACTGGTTACATTCTCCATGTTGTCACCAGATTGTTTCACCACCATGGACTTAGACTCACTACCCCCTAAACTTCTCATCTATGCTTTAGAGTTACTGTTGACAGTTTGATCTCATATAGACAATTCTATAAAAGAGCGCAATGATCACGGTGAACTCTCTTTACTAATTTAGCTACACGGTTGTTTAAAGATGACTTCAGGAGATAATTTCGGTTCATGGTTTGAAGATTTTCTTAGAGCAATAGATTCGAGGGTTCCTCCAATCTCCATAGATCCAGTAAGTCTGGAGCCTGTAAGAATTTGAAATTTTGTTCCACAATTTTCCCCTTTCGATCAGGATTCATCTACTGATTTCTTGATTAAAATTGTTCTTCTTAGAACATTTTAAATGCTCACTCACCTCCTTCCTAATGGTCCCTAGTCGCCTTTGGGCCGGAATCTCCGTGGTCCACCTCAAAGCCAAAAAAATCAGAGTTGCACCTTGGTGAGTAGTGTCTGGGGTCTTAAAAGCCTGTGAGCGGCCATCTAAGATACTCCACTGGTCTCATCCCTTCGGGAGCAAGGGAGAATGAAGAGAA